TATGAACTTAAACTTGATAGTTTGGGTGACCTTCAATTAGAGCGGTCACGATATTTGTACCAAGATCACATCCTAAATCTATGGCCCTATTCCTGAAGTTCAACTCATACTGACAGCTTTATGTCCGCTGTTTCTTATATATAATGAGCTCAATCAAAATCCAAATTAGGCTAGTTACCAGTATACGTGTACTAGGATATGTGGAATGTATAGTCATTGACATTAATAAACCAAATGCAAACTGATCCCAGAAGTTGAAACTGTTCTTTGATGCTATAATACATTTTTTAGATTCTGATTTTGGATGAGACTTTCCAAGAGTACCCCACAGATTCACACAGCCCCCCTCTGTTATACCACCTCGGAAGATAAAATGTTTTGTTGGTCCATGAGACCAGTTTCACAATTCAATTTCCCTCTTTTCTTCGTCTCCTTTACCAATTTTCCCTGAAAAACTCCTCTTCTGAACTTTCCTAGAACATCTTCAAACTCAATTTGAAACAACTCATTGACCATTAGTTGACCATCAGGATTTCGAATTCTTCTCATTTTTTTCCTTGTTTTCTCATTTCACTTCCTGAATACCAAATTTCTAGTTCCACATAGAATCGATTTATATTCTTTTCATGGTGCATGCTGAGAATCGACTCTAGACATTGCTGGGCATTCTGGAAAAATATATGGGGAAACCAATTGTTTTCCGAGCAATATCAAAGTTTGAGTTGTTTTCCATTCCTTGTCTTTGTGTCTTATGGTTCGTTAAAAACAGGAAAAAATACTAAAAACGAACTCATTTATTTCTAACCCCCCGTTATTCTTTCTTTATAACGAATTGCTTTTCTTCTGTTTTTAGCTATGTTCGAACGTTTTCTACATGAGCAACCAACCTCATTGAAATTCTCGAACTTTAACCAGACAAATTGATTAGTTACGCTTTTTCTAAAAATTGAAAAAAATATACAGAATACAACAAAAACAATTTAATTGAATTTGAGGAGGAAAATGAAGAGAATGAAGTCTCGTATAAATTGAATAACTATTCAACTGATGATCATTGATGTTTACTGATCTATTGCTGTTTGTTTTGATTTCCTAATTCATCTTAAAAAGAAATTTAAGCATGTGGTTTGTGTTTGAATGTGAAGGTGATTCAGTTATGTACTAAACCACCTGGGGTGTGAAGTCTTGGAATATACATACTGACTTTTTGAAGCCATTTTTGTTTTTTCTTGTTTTTATTTTCATTTTTAACATTCAATTTTTAGATATTTCTGTTTTTTTTTTGAACAAGTATTTCTGTATCAAAAAATTAAAAAACAATTTTCTGATGCTCACGTGTTTCATTAAATTTAAAAACTACTTGTTTAATGGTACTCCCAAAACAAAAAAAATGACAAAAATATTTTTAAAAATAATACAAAACGATAGGTTCCACCGAGATTTGAACTCGGGTCGCAGGATTCAAAGTCCTGAGTGCTAACCGCTACACCATGGAACCGTACACTCTCAACACCACCTTTTCCCGTTTATGACTGATGAAGCAGGTGAAGATAATGTGTGCGGAGACAGGTTTTGCGAAAGGTATTGTGTTCGCCGCGGAACGAAAAGATTATATCACAATGGAAGCCATTTTTTGCATTGATCAGACTATACTATCAGCGTAAATGTATTGGTGATTTTTGGTGAATAAAAATGAGTAAGTTAGTTAAGCAGTTTGTAGTGGTTACGTCTACCAGAAGTTTGTGGTCCAAGAATGTTTGAAACAGACTTCGAAATTCCGAAAATTTCGAAAATTAATTTCATTTTCGGAATGAAATTCCAGCCGAACTATTCACGAAGATTTGAAAATCGGGAATAATCCTAAAATTGATATTCGAATATTTTGACATTTCGAAAAATTCCGAGAAGGCCACTCCGAAAATTCTAGTTTGTGGTCTCCATTCAAAAAATGTATAAATATCCTGCATGAATTATCACTCTCTAACCGAGCAATATCAGTGATGTCACGATCAACCCATTTATCTTCAGTCCATCACAAAAAAAAGAACTTGACCCAGCGCGTCGGTGTCAGGGACCGCCTGCCACCCGCAAAAAAAAAGAAAAACGGACATTCGAATTTTTGAAACACTTGTCAAATGAGGTCCCATGGGTGGTACAAATTGAATACGCCGCCATCAGTGCCGAGCCATCCCCCCGGCCACCAGTAGTGATGACAAAAGAGACCTCGGACCCACCCCACAAAGAAACAAAACACTTGAAAAAGGGGTGGGGGGTCACGTGTCTGGTAACAAGAACTCAACTCAGACGTACACGTCAGTCTCGTCGAAACTATTTAAGTTAGTTTTGAAGATTTCGGTTCTTCGTGCAAATTGGGTCTTGTTTTCTATATTTTTGGAAGTTGCTCATCCCGGAAGTTCTGAAATTCCGAACGTATTGGATTTTCTATTTTTAGTGAAACGAAGAGGTAGTAGTAATTTAGACGTCCCTTATTTGTTCTGGTCTAGTAGCCCAAAAAGTGGTTCCTGTTTTTGAACTCTTATTCTTGGGATGATTGGTTCTCTTTCGTGTGTTTTTTTTTTCGCCCATATTTTTTCATGTTTTATGAAAAAATTGAGATTTTCAAATAAAAATTGGAGTGTGCAGGACAATATTTCAGAGTTCTAATCCGAAGATATTTTTTGAGTTTTTTTTTCGTATAGCATTCCTTTTTGAACTCCGTGTTTTGAAGTTTTAATCCGGGAGAAATAGAACCTCAAAATCCATGTTTTCTGTAAAATTTTTGAACGTAGAGTGTTTTTGAATTTTGATCTAAGGTTTCTAAAAAAAAGAACTTTTCTGACAAGGGAACCTCAACACCTTGTAAACCCAGATTTCGATGAAACTTTCAGGATGGGTTAAGGATAGCTTTTCCAGACACTTCTGAAGTTTTCAGAATCCGTTGGCCAGTTTCTGCCAAATTGTTCAGTTTCAATACCAAATAACCAGTTGTCAGTGCAAAACAGCTATTTTGAAAAATGATTTTCTCAACTACTAAGACGTTCCAGAATACGAAATTTGTTGTTTTATACTTAGAATAAATCAAAAATTCACGTTTCAGACATTAAAAAAAACTTATTTGAAAATTTTTAATGGATCTCAAAATAGTGGAAAAATCGAGAATAATAATTTTTAAAAAAGATGTTCTATTTTTAGTGAACCGAACTTCATTTTGAGTAAAACACAATAAATTGCATGTTCTGAAACGTCCTAGAAGTTAGGAAAGTCGTTTTTGAGAATCGCTATTTTGCACTGAAAACGTAATTTTTGGTACTGAAACTGGTGACTAGATTCTAAAATTTTCAAAGGTGTCTAGATAACCGATTCACAACCGATCCTTGAAGCTCATTAAAATCTGAATTTACAAGGTATTGAGGTTTCCTTGGGAGAAAAATTCCAAGATCAAAATTAAAAGACACTTCACGTTCTTCCATTGTCCCTTACACAATTGCAACATTTCATATAGTTCAAAATGTTGTTATTTTCAAAAATGTCCCCATAAGACTCCTCGTTCACTGAAACAACTCTCAATTCCACCCTCATTGTGTCTGGATAAACTCATTAGAAATTTCTCACTTTACTAAAAATGACTCAGTTCCCCTTCCTTATGATTTGTTCTCTACTTTATACTTCTCATATTAAAATGTTTCCCGTGACAAAAATAATGGGGGTCTCATCATGATGTCACGGCTCATAAATCCGCGAGACTGAAGATGATGATGAGTAGTTTAATTGCCATCATCTTCCTATTCTCTTTGCCCTTTCCATTAGTTTCCGCCATCACCCGTTTGTCTGTCACACGTCTTCAGGAAAAGATTTGTCAATTGATGAAGACCTTACATAAAATTTGTGAGCCATGCAGTTGAATGAAAAATTGAGAGAGGGTTTCAAATAAGGTGTGGGAGTATGAAGCAACCACTAGCGTCAGAATTTCAGCTCGGAAGTACACCGGAAAACGTTAGAAAAGGTACAATTATTATTTCTGGAGAGATGATGTGTGGGAGGAGAAAACTACTGTAACTTTAACACTCTATTGACATTATTTCTCTAATTCATTCAGATCTCTGAGCACCCATGGAGAGAATGGAACCAAAAATTTTGAAAATCAACAAAAAACTTCCAAAAACCTCTTATGGTCCTTGATTCTATGGTTTATTCATAATGTTTTCTCACATTCCCCCTCTTCAAAATTCCAACGGATCAAACTCATTGTTCACTCATATAATGAAAAAAACCAATTCCGGAGAATGAGCATTTTCCGCCCACCGTTTGAGGGAACAATAGGTTTTCGGAACACAAATCGTTTATTTTTCGTTGTTTCTTTTTTTTTTCGAAACCTGCACTTTTTGAATGCCTAATTGTTTTCAAAGTTAGTCCACCCATTTTTCGGAACAAACTCTTATTTCATTTTGTACCACCACTATTCGTATATCCTTCTATTTCAATTACTAAAATTACTCGGCTTTGTTTTGACATCGTCAGCTAAAGACAGAATCAGCTTAATTAATGATTGGTAAATAGCAATTCGAAAGAAGACAAAACAATAACACTAGATGCTATCTAAAATTTCGAAATGGATTGAGTCATAGGTGTTCGCAGAATGATGAGATTTAGTTAAATTTTGCGTGCTAGGTTTATATGTGTGTGTGCCATTCCTAGGACAAAATGATGTTCATTTGAATTTCTGATAACGTCTGTTTTCGTTCCAACCTTCAGACTCGTATAAAAACGTTTTGTATAAAAATAGAACTGCGAGGGAACTGTGGAATTAATTAATCAGAATTCTGCTTCCTTATTCTTGCCATTTGTCTTGATGACGTTTCCCAAGACCCCCCGCTTTTTCCGTCATCTCCATGCTTCTAATTAGTTAACAAATGAAACAGACTGAAAAAAAGAGGAGCGTCTTCAAAAGTGCGTATTGTTCTTCGAGCTCAACTTTTTTTTTCCGTGTTTCGTCTACGCTCATGATTACTGATTGGCTGATTAGTGACTCAATGATTGTTGATCAGTATTCCATTCACGTGACGAGTTGCTTATACGGGACCCAGGGATCCGACATGCGCCTTTGCATACCAATCCATCATCCAGAGCCAGACCCTCCTACAACTTCGTTTCCAGAAGAGTTTCGACCCGTAATCAGCAAGACGACGAATCAATCAACAACCGACAGCGCCGTTTTTCTACGAATTTATTGCTTCCGGGCAACATTTTGACAACATCATCATCTTACCAACCTTCACGTGTGGGCAGTATTGTTGGAATAACAATTCCGGGTTCTGTAGACAGGAAACATTTGAAGAAAGAGAAATCCGTGTTTGTTTGACCTGAATGAATCGAAGGATCTAGACGAAAAGAAACCTTATGTTTCACGAAATGCAATTTTCGAAAATTCGAAATTCTTTTCCATGAAAATGAAGCCTCATTTTATTCTTTCCATAGCTTTATATGAAAATCAAAAGATGGAATTGGAATTAGGTAAAAAAATCTTGATTGAAGTGGTCAGCAACAAAACTACTAAACACATCCTACTGTAATCCTTTGGAGGTTTTCCGAAACAAATTCAGCAAATTATACAGCTTGAAAATTCAGTTTAAAACTTTAATCCTATGTATTTCGATAATCATTCCTAACTTTTGAGTGATCTATGTGTAAAATATAGCATCATATTTCACAATTGACTGATTTAATAGGCTAAACGAAACCAGACTACGTTGCTCTTTTAAAAGTGTGAGTCATGGACGTATTTTGAAAATTCAAATATGACGAAAACGCTTCATTTGAGTTTTGGTACCTTAAGAAACCCATCCTGTCTATATGGAAATGTGTCGCATTGACGTTCCCATTCCCATCATTTCGGTTCCTTATTACCAAGTAAACCAGGATAAAAGAATATCAATATAAATTCAAATTACCTCCTAACCCATGAGCTCTTCTCTATCCATTTCTCACAGTAGCCAAAATGCGTCAACTCATTTCCATACATATTGCCAAAAAATTTTTCGAAAAATTCTCCATTTTTCTATTCTCCTTTTCTACGGTATCATACAAATTTTCGTATTTCTCATTCTCATC